GGGAGCTTATGTCATAAGTTGGTGGGGGTGAGTGAGGAAGAGGAGGGGGCAGGGGGGGGGGTCGAAGGCAGTGGCGGGGGGGGGAGACCGCCGGCGATGCCGCTTACAAGAACCAACAGCCGTGACAGGGGCGGGGATTGCAGGGATAGGGGTAGTGGTGGAGGTGCTGGCAGCAGCAGCAGCAGCAGCGTATCGCTGGCGGCAAGGGGAGGGGGCGACTCAAAGGGTGCTAGACGCAGCGGTGACTACGACAATGCCACCCATGGGGGCCGGGGGGGGGGGGAGGGCCGGGGGGACGACGGCCAACGGGGGGCGGCGGCGGGGAGCGAGGCTGCTGTGTCGTGCGGTGGTGGTGATGGTGCGGGGGGTTCAGTGGGGGGTCAGAGAAATACGCTGGAGGAGGGGAAGAAGGCTCTGGAAAGCGCGAGCGTGAGCGTTAATGCCTCCCCCAGGTGCGCGCCCGCCGTGGCAGAGCACGCGTTGATCCCGAAAAGCTTGGGAGCCCCCCCCCCCCCTGTTCACGTGCTATGCTCTCTACTCGTACACCGTTGGAGTACATCGTTTAGCGTATCGATCGGGATCGAATACCACTTTACATTTGGCGATGTTTGCGTGCGTCCATTTTCGTCGCGTGAGAGGTTCACTAAATACCTGCATTCATGGATGCCGGTCGCCCCGGTAGTTAGTCGGTATTCTCGAAACCTTGTAGTGGCCAGGGTCAGTCGAAAGCAAGCTTGTCTTGCAAAGAGATTTCTTCACTCGCTTCCGTTCCGTTCCTTACCTGGGTGGCAAGCGCTAGTTCGTGTGTACACACAGGCAAGAGAGTGCTGCACTCTTCTCGCATTATTTAGTCGAGGGCAAGGTCCGCAGGAGCGGTGGTTAGGGGGCCTCAGGGAGCGGAACCCTTCTGTGTGACCACGGGTTGGAGTAGACGGCACACGTGCAGTGAGAGCTGATTTGAGGTGAAGACCAAAAAGAAAAAAACTGGACGAAATGCAGAAAGAAGCCTGCACTCCGACGTGTAGGCAATTCCCCCCCCACCCCCCCGGCCACCCTTGATGACTTTTTCTCTTGAGTGTTTTCCCCCGTCGGTTTCGTGTTGTTACTGTCGTCCTTGTTCATTTGCATTTCCCCTCAAGAAGTGAAAACGGCAGTCCATTCGATGTTGCACACAAGATTTTTTTTTACACCACGCACACTTCCGTTGGTTTGTAGACCTTTTTTGCCAGCTTGAAATGCTGCCGCAAAACGCCTTTTTGCGGTAGGCGTCAGGTTCTAGATAGATGTGCCGCGGTATGGTCTTTGCCGGGGAGTGTCTTGGTTGTCCCAGAAGAGAAATTGTGTTGTCGAATCAACGTGTATCGCGGGACAATAAAGTCAACGGCGGAGCCCCCACTTTTTTTTTTTTCACGAAAAACATGGGAATGGCTGCGCCAGTTGTGCTGTTTGTGCGGTGGAGGGCCGAATGTGTGGGCACAACCGGGTGTTGTACCACCCCTGCAGACGCAAGCGACAAGCCCTACTACCTCGCTAGCAGTACTGCCATCTGCCATCACTGTCATCAAGCGTTGCGACGAGGACGACAGCGATATCGCTACGGCGGTATTATGTAGGTAGCGACTGCAATAGCAACATGCCACCTTCTGGCTATGCATACCACCCATCAATTCCGCCATCCTCAAACGTCCCACACACGGACAAGATTTGACAGCCGTAGCCGTGTATGTAGAGCACCAGCAAACGACGAAGGACGACGGTTCCGCCGCAAGCGCCACTGTCACACCTGCCGACGCCGCGGCCAACATTACCGCCCCCCCCCGTGGGACGCGTGGTCAATAGTCTCACCGCTAAGGCATGCAATACATAGGAGTGCCCCCCCCCCCCCCCTCCCCCCCCG